GACAGCCAAAGAAAAACCAACATGTTTCTGCTGAGAGAAATTAAAGTTCTTGTTCAATAAATATATGTAAAAATGCCCATTTAAAGAAAGAATCAAAAATGGCAAAAAATCATGGTTGCTTACAGGTTCTCAGTAGTGTGTCCACAACTAAGGTGATCTGACATGTACTAGTATTGCACATTTCTAGTGCCTTTAATGAAAAACAGTCTTCAAAGATGGGTCGGCTCTAAATTACTAGGTGCAGGGAGGATCATTTCTCTAGTGATGGAGCCACTTTGTGTTTTTTTTCAGCTCACTGGTTGAAAGAGTTTCTTGTGTAGCTTTTGCCTTGTTTTCTTGCTGCCCACTCACTACGTGTTTATGAAACAAAGAGAAAATGAAAAGCTCCTCCACCAAAGAACCTGTTAGTTTGGACACATATCAAGACCTCTTGCCCATATTGCATCCCAGCAGACAGACATAGCACCACCCCAGCTATACAGGAGCTATTTGTAGCTATGGAGCAAGATGCTACATTTGACCCCCACAAAAGAGGAACAGCTATTTTGGCTTTTTTCTTCCCCCTATAATGGTGTCATTTATCACTCTGACATGTATTCATTGACTTAGTCTGAAATTTCTCAGTGTCAGATTTATATTTCTTTTCTCTTTTGAATATTGATGCAACACTTCCCTTACGTGACTGCACTGCATCTGCCAAATGGTGTCTAGACGCTAGAGCAGCTTTAACTAATTAGTGTAGTCACTCCAGTCACTCAGCTTTGGCATTTACGAACCCTTTATGGTACTGTTGTTGAGCCATAAATAGATGCCTAAACACAAGCAGCAATGTAAAGAGAGGTGGTAGTGAGCATGTTCAGACTTCACCCAACGTCACCAAGGTGAATACAGGACAGCAACCCTGTTCATAACCAAGGTAAGAAGTTGTAACCACTCACTTGGGCATGGCAGTGTACATGAATGCAGTCAGCAGAAGATTCATATTTAGTGTCCTTCTCAGGTTAATATCACCACGGCAAAGGGAAACCTAAGAGAGAAGATTTCTCTTTAGTGCCCCTGCCTACAAGCAGTTGAAAATTCATAAAGCCAGAAGAACAGAAGTAAGGGAAATCAACACCCAATAGCCCACTGATAAGGGTAACTTTTGGAAAGGTATATTTGGTTCATAAAGTTGATTTCCAGTAAACCGTGGTTTACAGGGCATCCAAACTGAAAATGCAGATGTAGAAATTATCTGCAACTTCATTGTTTGGACTATACCTTCACATATTGCATCCTGCATTTCTGTGCAGCCAGTGCTGAAGTTGAGTTGGTGAACTTTAGAGAGGGAGTATGGATAAATAGCAAAGATAATTTCATTAAATAACTTCTACAAAACCTTGAAAATAAATTTAGTGAAAACCTAATCAATGTTGCCTATGCAACAAGCTGTGCTAATATAAAATTAAATTGTCTCAAAAATTATGAGCAGATTAAACACAATACTGCTATTAACAAGCCTTATTTGTAAGCAAATTTTGAGTTTTGATTTACCCTGCTGAGTATCTGAAGAACTAGTATCATAAGGTAAACAAATTATCTTTGTTTTCTTTGTATTCTTAACTTTTACAAATTATTTTACTGGTGTTAACACAAAACATTAGAGAACAGTAGGTTTGGATTTTTTTTTCTCTTTTTCACAGAAAGACTGTTTGTTGTTTGATCAGATTTTCTTTGAATTTGCCAGTAGGATTATTCTTATTTTTTCAGGTAGTGCTATACAAAATATTTAAAAGTAAGCTTTCCAGAAGATCTATAATGTACTTTGAGGAGATTAGATTTTCCAGGGCTAAGCTAGAACTCATTTAATTTTTTTTGTGTTTTAGTTAGTTAGTTTGTTTGTTTGTTTCTCTACAAAGAGATTTTTTTTTCTTCCTAGGAAAAAGATTTCTGGGTGCTGCTCTTCAGTTTTATTTATTTATTTATTTGTTTGTTTATTATGCAAGGGAAAGAATCATTAATGCTGCTGAACACAAAGGATTTGTGATTCTTACATGGAAAAAGAAATTATTACCTCCTTCTAAGTGTTAAGTACAATATAAAAACTTCCATGGTTTTGTATCTAGTCATCTAGTAAATAGATACATATATGTACATTGCACATGTAAAACCATGGGCACACATGGTTCAAGTGCTGTTTGTCCTCTAGATACCAAACTGCTCAGCTGTGAGTTAGACACCTACCCACAAGTTGCTAACCTCAAGTTGTTTCCTGCTGAAGAAGCACAAAGTTAGCACAATATGCATATATGTGTTTTTTTTTTTAAATAGAATGTTATCATCTGATTGCTTATCAAGCATGCCTGAAAGGATTGTCTCTTTTACCCAAACTCTTCTTAATAATCATATGCAATAATTTAGTATAAATTATACTGTATCTAATTAGGCTAATTTGTCTCTTGGTAGACAAGCAGCAGTACCACCGTTTTGTATTATCGATGAGGACACTTTTCTTGGTGTCACTCTACTGGAAACTCAGGGCTAGATCATCAATGAGCAGGTCTTCACTGAGCACGGTGGAGTTATTTTATGGCAGGTGGACACTTTTTTCTGTTTTTATTTGTTGGTCTTAACTTTATATCCCATGGAAGTTTATCCACATGAATGACAGGTCAGAAGGGAGTAAGAACTTTGTTAGTATGAAGTTTGGATGACTCAGAGGGGATGTGTATGACTATGTCCAGCAATGCTTGGACCAGATCTATCTGAACTATATTTGGCTTATGAAAATGTAAATGTGCAACATTATTAGGTTATTACCTTCTGCAACCACAAAAAATCTTCAGAAATTAACATAGAAATCAGGCTGTATGCAAAGGGATCAGCAGAGCAATTTTAGTTTCCTTCGGTGTTTACTACAACAAATAAATTATTCAAGCATACAGGGTAGTAAATGGTTGGTTTTATTCCATAGTCATCAGTACTTACATTCAGAGAAAAGGAGTGTATATTTCTGGACCAATGCAAATAATAATCTAAGGCAGAACTGTACAATTAAGAATGATGAAATGATTGCTATTAGTAGGATTTACTGAAACCTTAGAAACTGTCAATGATCTTTGTTCCCAATTGCCCAGAAAGCTGGATCTTTGGATTATTGACAGAGAGCGAGTCTCCACAATGACATAGGGTTTCCTTGCCCAAATTCTCTTCATGGTGCTATTTAACTCTTCCCATCCTTGTAATCTGTGTCTTCTCAGCTTGTGCCCTGGTAGGTACACCAGTAAAATGGAGATTCTATGGAAAACTAGACATATAGAACATCTTGAAGGATATGTAGAGAGCTTGACTTTCTCAAGCTGTTAAGGTTAACTGGGTACAAATGTCCATCACAAGGTTAAATGGTTAAATAAGTGAAAGGAGGGAGTGAAAACCTGGCAGTTGACTGTGGTTTGAAGGAAACCATGAATTCGCTGCTGTCGGGACAGTTATGGATGGAACTAAAAAGAGGTCATGAGAATGGCTCAGATAAATTCAGGTGTGGTTTGCATACAATCTATTTATAGGATGCTTTTTGAAACTAAGCCTGTGAACCTTTTGAAGTTTGCCCATCACTATTTTCATGCCAATTAATGATGTACATCCGTTCCCATTCTGAGATAGGAAAAACAATAAAGCAAACAAAGATAATTAGTCTCTGGAGCATGCCAACAAATAAAATCTGTGCAAATCACTTGTTTCTGCTAACTTTTATGGTTTTGCTGCAAAACTAAAAAAGAACATTTCTATTGCAAATCTACATAATGCTGGAGCAGAGATGGAAATACATATATGACAGCATCCTGATTTTGAAAGGGTTTTGCAAAGATTAAACATCTTATTCTGAAAAACTACTCTGAGTTGTTATAAGCAAGAGAACACTTTCATTCCTTTTTCACGGAGGAAAAGGGATGCAGGGAGGTTAAACCATTTTGCTTATGGAGTCAAAGGTCTAAATGACACTTCATAAATAAACAAAAGTCACTGCTTCAAGAGGCTTCCAAGTCCAACTGAAAACAAAATCACAGCTAAGGAGAGAAGGTTAAGATGGGCAGGAGATAGACTGCAGGATGTGGACCTTGACTCAGCTCAGTGATGCCTCTCAAATTTTACAGACCTGGATGGGAGCATTACATGGCTTTTAAAGTGCAAATTGACAGAACAGCTTCTAGCTGCTAGGAACTCTCTTCTTGGTTTCCAAAGTCATAATAAAATGTTAATTGAGATAGGGCTTTAGCCCTAGTATTGAAGCACTTTTCCAGAGGTGAGCCGTGCTCTCCCCCTCTTGGAAATGGGGTAACTGAGGTAAGCAGAGATAAAAATTCAGTAGCAGAACTGGATGCAGAGCACACATTCACTACTTCTGAGCTCAATGCTGTAAACTTTAGATAAATGCACATTTTACAAGAACAGATAGATTCTCAGTACCATTGCTCCAGGGGAGTGTGTAGATCATGCCATCTGGATCTGCCCAGTTCAGCCAGTTGGCTCTGCAGGCAAGTGCAGAGCAGGGGTAAGCCCATTCCCTGGAAATTCAGGGCAGAACTAAAGCAGGTCCTGCCTCAAGTCATGGAGTAAGAGGGCTCAGGGAGCAAAAACATAGTCTTGTATAATGAGGAAACTAGCAGAAACTGTGTTCTGTTCCTATAGAATAACAGATTCCAGAGTTCAGATCCAGGCAAAATGACCACTCATGATAAAATGTCTCTTTGTCTTTTTTTTTTTGGCATTAAAATGCAGAGCATTTCTTTTAGCAAAGGGCGTGCATGACCCTGTCATTTTGTACCTTTTTGCTGTTTTCTTACACTTTTTTGTTCTGGTTTCAGAAATGGAATCTGGAAAAAGACCCTTATCAATTGAAATGTGTCCAGTGTATATCGAAGTTAAAAATACTAAGTGCTGTTGAAAAATAAAAAGACTGTAAAAGGTAAGAATGCCTGCAGGCTTGATTTTTAAAGATATGCCTTTTTTTCATGTTGCAGATCTCGCCTTGCAGATTTTTTCACAAACTGCCAGCCTGAGTCACGGTCTGTTAGTAGCTGTCTGAAGGAGAACTATGCTGACTGCCTCCTCGCTTACTCGGGGCTTATTGGTAAGAATGCAGGGAGGGGTTGGCGCTTGCTTGATCTAAAAAAAAACAACAACACCCAAACAATATTTTGAAGACCCTCAGTGAAATAAAAACAGTCGAACACTGTACTGTATGATTTTAGCCAAAATTCTCAGCTAAGTGTGTTGGTCTTGTTTAACTTTACGGAGATTCCTGAGGTAAATTTGTACATTGCAAGGAAATTAAGGACAGGATAAAGAGAGAAATGTGTTTGAATTTGAAATAAACATTATATAATTAAGCTTACAAAGTAAAGCTTAATAAGGTGGTTGACTTCTGGACAGGACATGAAATAAGGTAAAAAGAACAAATAAAGCTGCAACTTGGTTGGTTTAGCAGCTGTCATCACGAGGTGGGGTAAAATATTTCTTGGTCTTTAGGGAAAGCTTGGACATTTGAGGAACGAGTTGATAGACCAGACCAGCCTTGTTTCACTTGCAGCTGCTGTAGTTCTTTCCACGATCACCTTCTGTCTGCTCTAAGTTTTCTTAGGTGCCTGTCAATGGATTGGAACTGAGACCAAATTTATCATCTGAACTCCTCTCCCTCCCCAACATAATTCATTTTGCTTGCTGTCACCTTCCTGACTGCCAACAGGCACAAGGGTGACTATATGCAAGTCAGGTTCCATACACCCTCCACAGTATTTGATTCCTGAAAGAGAGAGGTTATCTCAGGAAGGTGAATTGTAGAAATACCATGGCTGGGCAATAAACAATAAGTGAATGTCAGAACTCTGAAACAACAGATTTTAAAAGTGCACCAGATTAGATGTTTTTAAGCTTACAGCCTGCACCTGCTGCAGTGCAGTAATAGCCCCTTCTGTTGGGTGTGAAGGTCCCAGCTGAGTCCCTTATCTTTTGAAATAATATCTGAAATAAAATATTTCAACTTATTTTTTTTTTTAAATATATGTATATATAAATGACTGAAAGCAACATTTGCTGACTTGTTTCCATTCTTAACACTCTAGCATCTAACAAGTGAGGTAAGTCCACGGAGTACTAACTGCTTAAAAAAGACATGGATAATTTCGGAGGACATTGTTCTATGTCTTAAGTGATAACGACAGTATGCAAAGGCTATAATATATGAGCGGTTATGACAGAATGTCATTTGACTCTAAAAGAAAGAATTGAACAGCCCTGAAATCTGATCTAGTCAATGAGATTAAGAAGTCTAGCTGCTGGCAAAGAGTAACTTACTAATAGATACTTGTGGGTGAGAGCTGCCAAGAAGTTCTTGCTGGACCTAGTGAATCTTGCTGACAGTTTTGTTGGATCCATTTTTCAGTTTAAGCTCAAAGATGACGCAGTTCACATAGTAAGTTTTTTGTGTGTGTGTGTTACTGTGGATGACCATGCTGCAAAACACTGTCAGACGTCAGAAATGTGGAATGGGTCCCTAAGGAGCTGAAATCAAAAGGGGATCTGATTTTCAAAGGGAAAAATAAACATCTTTCTTCTTTCCTGTCAGCCTCTAGATACATGCAAAAAGATGGGAACTGATTAGCGTTACAGAAGTTTGTACTTCTTGGAAGTCATTCTGAGAAACCAAAATTACCAAAACAAAGCTTTCATCTGCTGAAGCAGTAAATTCCTGCTTCTGATATCAAGCTGATATAAAACTGGAGTAAATTATATGAAGACCATCACATTTGTAATAGGCTGAGATCAAAATCAGAAGTACAATGTTTCTACTGTCTACTTAATATATACAAAATGCGGGAAGAATAGATAGCGAGGCCCTGGGTAAGAAGCTGTTACAGATTCATTCATTCATCAGAACTCCAGGATGTCCAGGTGTTTTAATTAAGATAAGATATCATTCATTCATATATGCGTGTATATATATATATATATTTCATTAAATGTAGCAAAAATTGTGCCTCCACATAGTTTGTTCAGGAAAATTAGTATTCTGTGTTGAAGATACAGTGGATGTGATTCTGTTTGCATCAGGGTGTTATGTATGTAATTATAAAGCTACATATAGGTTAGATGTTAGGAAGAATTTCTTTACTGAAAGGGTTGTTAGACATTGGAACAGGCTGCCCAGGGAGGTGGTTGAGTCACCATCCCTGGAAGTCTTCAAAAGACGTTTAGATGTAGAACTTAGGGATATGGTTTAGTGGGGACTGTTAGTGTTAGGTCAGAGGTTGGACTCGATGATCTTGAGGTCTCTTCCAACCTAGAGATTCTGTGATATCTTACAGGAATGTGGAAGACCTTAGTGAATCACCTTAGGCTCCTTGTTACAGTGATAAAGATAAATTAATACTTTTAAAGAATTACAGCATGTAAAGAAAAAAGATAAAAATGATCAAATGTAAAATAAGACTAGTGATCGCCATGCTTGAGATTCAATGCTTTGCTTACAGCCTAGTTTAAGCCATCTGGACCTGTTTGTACTCCCACAGCAGTCTGGTATGGCTGCAACTGCTGACTTCAGGATCTGGTTAAGCATTCATTTTCTGACACATTTTCACCTCTTTTCAGTAAAATCCATCTCATTTCCCCAGAATTCCCTGGAATTCCATGGGAGTTTGTATGAATAAACTGCTTTTTGCAGAACTTGATGCTTGCTTCTGGATCCAGTACCTAGTCTTTAGACTTTGGTAATGCCAAATGGTTTATACTCTAATCCTCATTTGCTAAGATACTTTCTGCCTCCAACATGCAAACGGACTTCTTGTTCTTCTAACATTCTTGTTACTTAAATGTTGTTGATTGCTGCATTTGATTGCCTTCACTGGTCTTGGGCAAATTCCTGTTGTTGGCTTTCATTTACTGTGTCACACGTGGGTCAAAGCAACTTCAGTCACACACCCTTCTCCTGGACCCACCATAAATCTCCTAATTCTTAACTGACCCTAATTTGAACAGCATTTTGGTTGTGCTCAGGTCAATTCTGCTTTTCCCTAGAATATGGAGACCCGACTGCCTACAACTGAGACCGTCACACAACTATTTGATTCAGAGAACACACAAAACTGAGCATGTCCTATTTTACTGCCAACCACCGTGGTTTCTCTGATCTGTTAGTGTCCTTGAGCAGAATTTCCAAGATGCAAGCTAGAGGAGGGAGGAGGAGGGGAAGGCACACACAGTTGCAGGGAGAAAAAGGAAATACACCCCAGGAAACGAAAGCATATAATCCGCTTGGGTTCACATCTGCCCCCAGGTTTAAATGACAGACTGATTTTCTACTAGCTGCTCTTTCAGCCACTCTGCTGTTTTTGCTGGATGTACAGTTTGTGTGCTGCATATACACACTCCCTGTCCTGGTGTTCCAGTATTCGTCAACCTTAATCATAGTTTGGTATCTCTTACACTTTTAGCCCCTGCCTTGACCCGTTTTAATTACCTTATTACCTTTTGTGGCCTTCGTCACTGACCTTTTAAACTTCCTCAGTACCAGTTCTGTTTTCTCAACCCTTCACGAAGTGTTTGCTACTTATCCTTTTTTTTTTAACGCCGACTGTTTTCTTTCCATTTGCAAGGTCTTGCTTTTCATTTTCTCTCACTTCTTTTCAGATCATATCACAGGGTTGAAATAGAGCACTAAACCATCAAATAACTGGTAGATATTTTCACTTTTTTTAGTTTAATTTAACATCATTCCTGTTCTTATTTATCTACTGTCAAGTTTTCATTTTAATGACGCAAATGATATTTGCCTATTTTACTAAATTCTCCACTTCCATTTAATAAGTTTTGAACTGTGCTATTTACTCATGTGCTAATCTCATGTAGAATTTGAGTGATTATTATCACAGCTATCTCTCAGAAGTTGGAAGTAGATGAAGACATAGAATTTCATTCTAATTTAAAACCATCCCCAAACAAGACAACAGATGCTTTTCCTGACTTTGGCAGTTGCACTGCATTCGTTTTCACATACATTACTGCCTTTCTCAGGCCAGCCCTTCATGTCTGTTTTCCTTGGTCTCCCACATCATGTATGAAGTATTTTGCATGTTGATTTGTTTAGTTCCCAGCACTGCCTGGTGACTGGAAGGCTATTTCACATCATTCTGTGATTTGTGTTATTTCTAATGTTACTTTTTTATCCCTATTTATTTGATAGCCCTTTCCTATGTGGTATTACAGACTCTTGGCCCTGGACCTGTGGACCAAATTTCCTCTGCTAATGTACACTTTGGGTCTCTAATATTTTCCTTCATTTAATGTGTCTTTTTAATGACTACTTTGATGACATTTGAGGAGTTTTGAGGGGCTATGATCACGTATCCTCATGATACAAAGCCTGTCCTAGAGCTGTAGATTGCCAAGTGAGGGACTTGTTTCCTGAAACTGCTGTGCTCGGTAAAAGTATCTAACTGCAGCCCTTTTTAATTAATTTTCTCGTGTTTGGTGAGACATACAATAAAGATTCAGACTTCTCAATCCTTAGGAGAATTTGAGATCTCTGACCTACTGTGCTGATGCCTTCAGTGTGACTAGAGGTTTGAATAAATGTTATCTCACAACAGTTACCTCATCCAGATGAGCGGTGAATAGTTCCTGTATAACTTCTAGGATACAGAACACATTCTTTGGTCTCATTCGATTATTGCTGGCCTTCAGCTGACATATAAATGTGAAAATATTTACCTAAGAATTGTAAGAGAGTTGGAATGAGACTGTAAGATGTTGACAGTGTTCAGGAAACAACCACTGTACTAGAAAAGCAGTGATGCAGCAAGATTAATAATAATTTATTACCTGCTAAGAATCAGTTGTGTCTTTTCCTGCATGCTGGTTGTGTTTTTGCTTTGTCCTTCACCATAACCCACTCTGTTGGCAGGGCCCTCAGGAGCACCGTAGGGATGGATAGCACTCCTCCAGGACGTATCAGCACTCTGTGCAGCATGATGACGTTCTCCTTGCTTATGCATTTCAGAACTGTTTTTCCTGGCTGGCTGCAGACCTTGGGGAGGAAGCTCCAGTTATTTGCAGAAAATGAAAGAAAGAGCAAGTGAGGAAGAAAATAGGATTTTTAGAGTGCAACTCTGAGGACTCAGCTCCACATGTTTGATTTGGCAGCAGAGGCTTTTTAAGAGGTTTCCCACTTCTTTCACTCCATCCCTCCCTGTGCTATAGTTTTTCACCTCTCAGTTCTACTGAGAGCTCTCTGTGGTCTTGCAGTATAAACTCTTTTGAAACAAGGGAATGTGTCTTTACTATGTGAGCCGTTTAACCTGCAGTGGTTACACTCAAACAACCAAGGGTGTAAAATGTTGCCCAGGACTGGTGGGCAAAGGGAGCTGGGGACTCTAGAAGCTGAAACTCTACCATAGGTTTGCACTTTGAATGTATAACTTAACAAGTGTTTTTTGTCTTCTTCTTAGTATGGGAATAATACTTCAGTGTAGAGGTTGCTCACAGTACAGTGCTTTATTTTTTTTTAATAGGCACAGTGATGACACCAAACTACATAGACTCTAGTAGTCTCAGCGTTGCCCCATGGTGTGACTGCAGCAACAGCGGTAATGATAGAGATGAATGCCAGAAATTTCTGAATTTCTTCCAGGACAACACATGCCTTAGTGAGTATGGAATTAGATGTCTAAAAGAGTTTTAGCATGTTTCATGAAATTTATTTATTGTTTAAATTTGTTGTGATGCATCAAGCCAACCTCTTTTCACACTGTAAAAGTGGTTCTGGTGTAGATGAAAGAACTAGAATTGAACAAACTCAAACAAATAAATATTCCTGATACTGTAGTTTATGGCCAAGGTTGCAAACACAGGATGTTGTTGGAAAAAATAAAATCAAATTACAGAAGTGTATCATACAGAAATACGTTTACATCACAGATCATGTTTGGACCCTAGCACTCAGGGAGCATCTGTACCAAAAAATTGCAACACCTTAGGGCCTTGTGTATAATTTAAGAACTTCATATTAAAAAATACATGTATTTTATGAAGGATTTGCTGTAGGTAAGTATGAATTGGATTGTATTTGCAGTTTATGGCCAAACGTCAGGTTTCTTAGGCTACTTGATCTCAAATGCCTGGTTTTAACACAAGGCTGGATGGTACCCATTTTCAAGATTTTGTTAAATTATTGATTTCTTTTCAGTTAAGCTTACTCCCAAATTAGGGACTATTATAAATTTCAGAATGGCTCAGTGGAGTCAATTTTGGCAGGTTCTCTTTTCAAATTTCCTGTCTGCCTGCAGCAGCATAATTGGATGATGTGGAGTGTGCACCAGAGTTTTAATTTCAGATAAATGAGGAGACCAAAAGAACTTGGCTTCCATAGCCTAGCAGAACAGAAGTTGAAAGCACACATGATTGTCCTTTGAAATTGCATTAGGGGGGCAAGTACAGGGAGGGAAAAGAATTAGTTAACATAAAGAACAGTGTTGACACAGGATTAAAAAGAGAGGTATTTGCCATACATATTTAGATTTGGAATTGAAAATTTTTTAACCATCAGGCTTAAGTTAAAAGAACAGCTTTTCAGCAGGAGGGGAAAAAGTTCTTCCTCATTTTACAAGGCATTTTTCATCAGATTATGAAAAGAAGCATTCATTGTTGCTTTTTGCAAAAAAATAATGAATGAACATGATGATCCAGACTGTTACATCCACTTCTATATTCTTGTATTACTGCTAGTGAGGGTCTGTATTTTAGGATAGGGTCTGAAAATCTCCATTTGTAGCTCCTCAGCTGGCAGCATGTTTGTGAAGACATGGGGAGCTTTGCATACAAAAAAGTGAGTTACTTGAGTTCCTATTTGTTGAACTATTAAGCTTCAGAAGAATTAAAGTTACTCAAGACCACTTACGAAAAAAAATAATTCTGTCTGTGATTGTGGAAAAGTTAACAATACAGCCCAAGACCACCTTCAAACCTAATGGTGCTGCAATTTATATAGGTATACTGTAAAACATCAGATATTAACAATTTGTGAATATTAATTGCTACAATGTTAGCAGTTCTTTTTAAAATGCATAGGCACAAATATCCTATGTCCCCTTTTTGCTACCGGTACGAAAATGTTAATGAAGACAAATCAAAGACATTAGAGGCCACTGTGAGACAAATTATAGTCATCCCAGCTGTTAGGGAGCTCTTTTTTCATGAAGAAATTAAAGGTGTTTCTGGTTAATAAAATGTTTTTTTCCCTCATAGAGAAGTGGAAAAGTTCAATTAAAAAAAATAAATAATAATGTCTTGATATATAAGTAGCATTTCCGTGCCTGGAGCAATGGCATAGAATGCTGGAATTTCTGTGATCCTTCTTGCAATAATGGAAACAAATTAACAGGAGTTACTGTTAATTTAGGAAACCATTCAGACATCAGGAATACTTTCTATGTGGAAACTATTGCTTTATGTACTGCCTTACTCAGGTAAAGCCAGGAAAAATATCAGTTCCACTCTGCCTACTTTGTCTTTATCAAGCTAACTGATTGTGATGCCCACTATAGATTCTTCTCCATGTGTGCTGGAGTTCTGAGAACTAATATTAGAATAAAATGCATCTTTCTCAGATGAGAATTAAATGTAAATTACTTTATAAAGGAAGGAATACCACTGAGAAGAAGTATTAATAGCTTCCACATATTAGTCCCCAGTGAAGTTGTTTGATTTCTTATACAAAGAATTTGAAATAAGAAATCCCTAAATCCATGTTGAATCCCCAAAGACCTGATTAAAAACTGGTTTTATTTTTATTTGTTTACGAAAAAAAAACAACCAATTTACTCTTGCCATAAACACACTCTTTAATCCCATGAAACCATGATAAGCTTTTTAACTTTCATATCCTGAAGTTTTAGTTTAAGCATGTTTCCCTCACCTAATTATGCAGATTTTGATTGAAAACTGTAAGGAAAACTGAAAGGAAAAGATTGTCTTAGTTAAACCATTTTGTCATTATGGGCATATTATTTTTAATACAGCAAGCTGTAGAAATAAATTGGTATTTTGCCCACTCTGATTTTAGTTTGCTACATAACATCACCTGCTTCAGATAGGATGTAACATTGAAACTGATTTTTAAATCTTGAAAGTAAATTTTTGAGGCTTTTGGTTGGTAACAAATATGATTACAGTAAGACCTAGGGCTTCTGTCAAGAATGACTGGGAATGTTATAAAGAATAGGCTGCATCAGATCATTATGCGGCCCCAGCCTCTCGGTTCATGTTTCTGATATGTTCAAAATTAAGACACATTTTTCAAAATAAAAATGGAGCATTTATAAATACACAGTTTTGATGGAATAATAACAATAATAATAAAAAATCATTTCTGCCATTTGTTTAGAAGTAGAAAATTGCCTATAATTTCTTTTTACAGAAAATGCAATTCAGGCCTTCGGCAATGGTACTGATGTGAATGTGTGGCAGCCAATCTTACCAGTACAGACCACCACAGCCACAACTACGACAGCTTCCAGACTTAAAAACACAGGTTCAGAGACCACCAACAATGAAATACCGGCTCACAATGATTCACCAGCATGTGCAAACCTGCAGGTAAGAAAGTCTTTGTAATTGTTGCAGTACATAAAAGAAAGGTGTTCATGGATATGTATGCAGAGTAGTTTCATGCTCCATGGATAAATACTGCCTAATTTAGAGTATCTGTTTAGTAGTTAGATACCAGATATACTGTAAAATAACGGACACTTTTTAAAGAAGAAGCATGCATATTTCAGAATGGCCTTCTTTGCCTCACTCAGACAAACAAGGCATAGTATTTAATTTATCACAGGTTTGGATATGAACGTGGTACTGTCCAAACCCTGCCAACACATGTCAGATTAAATTAGTCTGCTGAGTAAACCAAATTCAAGGGGAACTTCGAATGTTAGCTAGCATGGGATGCTATTTTTTTTTTTTTTTTTTTTTTAGTCTGAGTAGGTCTGGGTAGTGGAGAATATCGCGTGCTACAGGGTGAGGGAGCTGGATAAACATGCAAGCTATTTTGGATCAGGTGCCTTCCTGAACTGAACTCAAAGCTGTGATATGATTTTGGCCAGTGGCTGCAGCCATTTCCTTTAGTGCTTCAGTCAGCCTGTTTGTGGTGTGTCATTGATTCTGGATTTTAAAGAGGGTCATTGCTTGCTGAAGGAAGTGTATGCAGCCCTTAGAAAGCATTAAGAATTTGGGCAGGAGAGAGCTGCAAAATCTAGGCAGGAAAGGTCATGAAGTAACAGGCAATGTTGGTTAACATTCTTCCAAGGCATTACTGAGTCGGAAAGTATATGAGGTTAATTGTAGATGGTGTTGAGTTTAGGACCTTCTGTTTTAATTTGATTTTTCATATCTGTACATTCATTATTAGTTAACCTTTATAAGTTACCGATGAGAGAAAGATAGTTGTAGGCACTTTATTTCCATATGCAGTAGCCGTTTGACCAAATGAAATATGCTAAAAAGAAATGTAATCTTTTAAACCTGGAACTTGGAGTATCTTGCGTCTGAAGCAAGAACCTGATGAAATATTATTAATTCACTTCATGTTGTATTAAAAAGTTTTATGGCAGAGATCACATTTTCCTGCAGTGGTTGTACAGTCATACACGTTACACATAGACTAAGGTTTCCAGATGCTTCCAAAGTAGACAACTACTAAACCGAAGAAGTAGCAAGTGATCACAAATCCCATTGGTTTCAGTTTGCTTTACAAATGTTCCTCAAACCTGAATAGATGTTCCATTGTTCTGAAAACAAATGAAGTTCTTCCCTGTCCTCCCTACCTTACACCAATTACTCTGGCATTTTGAGGTCATGTCCCACTTGAATTTATCAGCCCTGGTTTGAAGGTGTGCTATGACTTCAAGTACACCCTAGATATACTTGACACAAGATGTAAAGCTCTCCAGGGAAAACAGCTTCATTTAAATAAATTATCTGCTGTTTTGTAAAAACTACAGATATGCTAGCATTAAAAGGTCACTGAAGTTACATGAATCACACTTTTTTTTTCTTCTTTTTTTTCTTGTGAAATACAACATTCTGGTGCTAGCTATTTTCTTCTGTCAGAATTGAACCATGAAGAACAAAGCTTTTACATTTCAATGCATTTTTCAATAGTAACTTGTGAATAGAGCCAAAACAAGCCCACACTTTTTTAAAGAAACCTATGTTTATTGGACAGTGTGGTGCCACTTTGCATGTGAGACTTAAACCTCAGTTCAAATTTTACAAAAGAACTGGAGGCATTCATATCACACTTGGAGAAGCGTATTCATTCCAAGGCTCTCCTCCCATGAAAAATATGCCTTTATAGTATTTTCAAAACATGAACTAGTGCTACCAAAAGCAATCTGAAAGTCTTTGTTATACACTTAGCATTTGAGCTGAAAATTTCAAAAAGGCAATCTAGCCTAAATATTGTGAAAAGTAGACTTAAAAAATGTTAGTCTTAGTTCAAAAAGACAGTGACAGAGAGGGGATGTGGAGGTGATCATTGAGATGCTACAAGGATGCATATCCTAGCTAGTGGATTTAGAAATGCAGTAAAGGAAGAAAGAGCAGGAAGTGATTGATTAATACAAATTGCTATAGAAATAAATACAGTAAGGGAGGAAAGAGCAGGAAGTGATTGATTAGTATAAATTGCCTATAGAAATGAACAAATACTAACCTCCTGAGGTTGTAAAATACAGAACATTAACCCAATCTGCCAAGAGTGTCACCAGCGGAGCAATTTTTGTTATATTTTTTTCTGACTTGTTCACAATGGTTGCATGAAAAGCAAGAATACAGTAATGGTTTTGTCATTCTGCCATGTACTCCAGCACAGTACTTGGGAATCTGGAGTTGTGAGTGCCTGAAGAAAATACGCAGTACTCTTTTATCTGAAGTCAGTATTTATTTTGAATGCCTGTTGAAGGTTTGGACTTCAAATAATTTTTGCTTTAGTGATGCTATTTAGAAATAGTTCTTCATTTCACATTAGCATTGCTACAAGAATTTTCAGTTTAAGTGTCAGTGTGATATTCTCTTATTTCTAATTGATGCAGAGAAACATTGATTTTTTTTGTATGCTTATTTAATGTTTAAACATGAATGGATTTGTGTACTACACTATTTTTTCTGTCCCTAAATTAAATTGGCACTCCATCTGTGCCATGAAGATGCTTACCTTCATCAGGAGTGCTATAAACTCTCCTATAAACCTGGCTTCTAACTAAGTTTGCTAAACACAAAGAATAAATAGTGGTTAGTTTTATATAGATGTGAATTCAAATATTTTTGAGGTGCTTGATGTCTAGCAAAGATTCCTCAGCACCATGTTATAAAATAGTGTGAACAAAAGGGAAAAGACAAATGCCAACAGTATGGTGCTTATACATCCACATTTTATTAAGCAATTGTCATCCCTATCTTTTTTTCTGATAGCTGCACTCCAACTTTTTATACTTAACTGTCATATTTGTTTGTCTTTCATTCTCGGTTGTAACTGGTGTTTAGTATATCAGTCAAAAAATGGTTATGGCTTTCAGTCTCACACTCTACCATCACTGCTTGAACCATCATGTTGGATTATGTGAAAAGGACAAAAGAATGAGTTTGGAAGTGTACTCACTCCATGTATTCTTCAAGAGAAATGCTGCTTCTGCATTTAGGAAAGATGCATGGAAATGAAAAATGATAAAATAAACTTCAAATGATAGATTAGATTAGATTAGATTAGCATCATCAGAGATAAATAAAAAATTAAGACTTTCATACTGGATTTGCAATGATATTTTAGAAGACATTTTGCATGTGACTAAAAAAGAAAGGAATCAAAGTAGTTAAGGACATTTCATTCTATTTTTGTGCATTGAAATTTATCAACTCCTTAGCCAAAGCTATATACTTTGTTTCCTCATGTTTATTATAAATGTCTTGATCTAGGTAACCTTAGCTCAGTATTCAGAGGGAATGTAAGGTTTTCGTGCTTTTGATGACGTGTGAGTAGTACACACATATAACTGAGATATGTGGCCCTTCAGACTGAAGGCAAATATTTTTCTGTTGAGTCCAGTATGTGAATGTCTTTGTACTCTCAGCAGCAGAATTCGGATTTCAAATTTATGAGATAGTATTTAAAAGCTCAAATATTCTGTGGGGGGAAAAAAAAGGAAAAGAGAAATGCAGATACTTAAATATGTAGATTCTTTGTATTTGCTGTATGATTTGGGAGTATTTAGAGCAGTGTGGATTGTATTGCACGCTGTTCTTCCACAATTTCTGTAATTCCACATAAAGCTGTTACTTGAAGAAGAATGTATTATGGCAAGTCTTGGGACAAAAACAGGAGACAGAGCTCATAGTTCTCTGAGACTAGAACTTTAGCATGACTGAGACTGGAAATTTTGCTTTTAGCTTGTAGGTCTAAGCATTGCACATCTTCACCCCTCTGTCTGCTAATCCAGTGTTTGAAATGCTGTCTGTAATTATGTAATGTAGCTTCCTGTGCGTCAAATATAATTATTATTATAAAGCATTGTGTAGGTGTTAAGAGAGGGTTAAAAGCTTCGTTGTAGTGCTCTGAGGATCAAGACACAGCAGGTGTGGAGCTTCATGGACTGGTAATTGGGTGGTGGGTGAGCATAAACAGGTCACACAGGCAGCATGTAGGTGTTTTGTTGATGAGGGAATAGTACCACTGCTGAGACTGTACTGTGGAATAAAGACAAAGTGAACTTTATTTATCCCCTGTGCACTACTATCATCTAGTCCATATGGCTGGTACCCTCTTTACCCCAGTCCCACCATACAATCTGTGATCTTTCTGTTCCTTTTTCGTTTTGTGAAAAACAAGCACTGTCCTTTCAAATGCCCTGCCTACCTTTCCCTTGGGAGATGTTGTACTTGGACCTCTTCCTCCAGACATCACAATTACACAGAAAGTTCCAGTCTGGAGCAAAAGATGGACAAGAATATAAAACTCTTATGGCTGTGCCAGAACAAATTGGAAAAAAAAATAGAATATTGACTAAATGTTTCATATGAAAAGATTTAAATTTGCCTCCCGTATTTCCAGGATTAGCTGACATAATGGGGTCAGCCTGCTTGTATGAGTGATTTACAGAACACCTATTGGCAGGTTTTCCTCTGAAAAAGCAACAACTTTAATTTGCTTTCGCCTTAATTCTGTTTTACCTAAAGGAGTCTTGTGTGCTTTACCTGTTCAGGTTAAAATCTAGCAGCTAGGGATAATTCAAAGTTTTATCTTTAATTGTATCCTTCTAATTTGGATATCACTAAACAAAATCCTGTTTTACCAAAACAGATACTGTTTCATCCATTGATACTGATTTCAGCAAAATTAATCCTGATTTGTTTCAGCAGCATGGTAGACAGGGGTCCTCAGAAATGTACTCTGAGACTACAGTTCCCTGAGACTGTTTTCATTTACTGCATGGTTGTTTCACCTTTTGCACAGGACTGCAAAGGTCAGGTCACTGCAGGAGAGGGTCAGGTCTCATTTTTCAGGCGTGTGGCAGTCTGGGTGTTCATTGGTGTGGAAGCAGTCG